AAGGGTTGTGGTGGTGGAAATAGGCAGATGTTGGTCAAAGGGTACAAATTTCCAGATATAAGATGATTAAGTTCTGGCATCTAATATCCAGCATGGTGATTATAATTAATAATATTATATACTTGAAAGTAACAACAGAGCAGATTTAAAATGTTCTCACTACAAAAAAGAAATGATAATTATGTGGAGTGATAGAGGTGTTAAGCCTACTGTGGTAATCATTTCACAAAATATAAGTTTTTCAAGTCAACATGAATATCTTAAACTCACACACTGTTATATGTCAATTATAACTCACAAAGGCTGGAGAAAAATAAATGACGCTCCCTGCTTCTCCTTTACTTCACTCTGAGAGATGCAGAGTGACTGCTGCAGTTGATGAGTTTGAGAAGACACTGGGCAGAGGTGGCTCAGTCTCTTCTGTCTTCTCTTTTCAGATCTCCCTGTCTGCAGAGAGGGTGCAATCTGGTCTGCTCTCTCAACCATGCAGTACATTTAGCAAGGCAGGCTCTGCTTCTGTGGGGGGAGGCCTGTGGTTGTCCAGAGCAGCCTGTGACTAGGCAGGTAAGTTTGATTTTGGGGTGCAGAATTAGGAAGCCCAGTTCATTATTAACTTAAGTCAGGTTAGTCGCTGTATTGATAATAAAGATAATCCTTTGATCTCCAATTATCAGCTTCCCCTGTCTGCCTTCACCTAGTTATGAACTTGCTCAGGTAATAAGAGACACGTAATGTATTGAGTGGATAATATCCCAATTATGGTGTACATAGTAAGCAATATTTAGTTTGAGAAGGTGAAGGAGGGACATTTGGGTTGGTGTTAGAAACCAAAATTCTTACCTATTATAAGGATATTAATTGATGATGTCTAAAATAGAGAAATCAAATAATAGGATACTAATTAAAAATAGGGAGAGAATTACCCCCCAAGGAAGGGTGGTTGTCTCTAGACTGCCAGGAAGGCAGACTGGATGGAAATGGATCATAGGGTTATTTCATCATAAGCACTTTTATCACTACTAGCATTTGATTTTTTAACTATGTGCATGTATTGAATTTAAAAAAAAAAACTTACATGATAAAAATGAAGGACAGCTGGTAGCCTATTCTTTAGAAGTGATTTTGGGAGTGTTCTGTCAGTTTGACTAAGATCAGAACATCGATGACATTCAGTGACTTTTGTTGACATTCACAGGCTGAGGGAATCTCTTGTGGGAAGAATTCATGACAGTGCTGATACAATTTACTGGAATGCATGATTACTTCAAAATCTACATTACCAAAATTGTGAGATTTTTCTCTGAAGCTCTTGCTATAAGGGGGGGTGGGGGGGGGAGAGTGCTGATTGGCTGGTTTGAGAATTATAACCAACAAAATATGTCTTTTTCTAAAATTAAATTTATTGGGATAATGTCTATAGTAATAACAGGGTAATATGCTAATTAGACCAGACATCTTCCAGATGTCATTGTGGACATCCTTCCTGATCAAGCTGGGGTGGGGGGGGAAGCCAACCAGGTCCCAGGTGCCAGAGGGAAGCCAACCGGGGTCCTGGGTGCCAGAGGGAAGCTGGTGCTGGCAGCTGCGGGAAGGAAGGCCTACTCTTGCATAAATTTTCATGCATCGGGCCTCTAGTTGGTTCATAAGATTATATAGGTTTCAAGTGTTCATTTCTATGATACATGACCTGTATATTGCATATTGTGTCTATCACCCAAAGTCACCATGTATTTGACACCTTTTAGCTTTTACCAACCCACTCTTCCCTTTGGTAACCACCATACTCTTATCTGTTTTTATGAATTTTTAAAAACTTTATTCATTTGTTGCTTTCAGTTTTATATACTATATATGAATGAAATCATATGTTTCTTAATCTTTTATGACTTATTTTGCTTAATATTGTCAAGGTCCAGTTATGTTGTTGTAATTGGCAGTGTTTCATCTTTTCTTAAGGCTGAGTAGTTTTCCATTGTATATATGCACCACTTTTTTTTTTTTAAATACATTTTATTGATTTTATACAGAGAGGAAGGGAGAGAGGTAGAGAGTTAGAAACATCAATGAGAGAGAGTCATCGATCAGCTGCCTCTTGCACACCCCCTACTGGGGATATGCCCACAACCAAGGTACATGCCCTTGACCGGAATCGAACCCGGGACCCATCAGTCCTCAAGCTGACGCTCTATCCATTGAGCCAAACCGGTCCCAGCTATGCACCACTTCTTATGCCATTTTCTTTTGTGATGTAAGAGAAGGCAAAAAAGTCTTACTGACTACAAACATGACTATTTGCTTTGGAAATTGGGCATGTTTCAAGTTTGGTGCTAAGTTTAATATTTTTGCTCATTTCTTGGAATGAAATATCCAGGTTTAATGAGTTGACCCTGTATGTTCATTTTTGATAAATGTGCATTTGAAGATAGTTATATGCTTATAACATACTATTTGATTATTACATATTCAGATCTTTCACATTCTTATTTTGCCATCTAGTTTATTTTTTAGTAGCATCGAACACTCATTTACATTTGCTCTCACTTACTTTTGAGAGTACTTCTGTAGGATAAGATTTCTAGTCGATATTTTATGTAAATTAAGAGATATGCATTTAAAATCTTATAGGCACTGCCAATTTACCTTTCAGTAAGGTGGTAACTTCCATTCCACTAGTTGTATATAAGGGTGTCTTATTTTTTTTCTCACACTCTTGCTAACATTGTGTATTTCTAATCTTTTTAATTTTTTTGACATCCTGACTAGGTGACAAAAAGCCTCTGTCAGAGCACAGCCAGAGCCTTGCACAGCTCTGCTGGTCTGAGTTGTTCTGGGTGACTTTCAGTCCATGTATTATCCTAAATTCTCCCATTAGACTTTGCCAGGGCTGGTTCCTGCTTGGACCTTGCCCACTGTACTACTTTTGGGAACTTAGTTCAAGTTCCTCTTTAACAAGTGTCAGAGACACAGGTCATTTCTCAGTGGCGGGGCAGATGGAGAAGCCATGATGAGTTGTGGATATATAAGAATGAGTCTTTATTGCAGAAGCCAGTGGCCACATAGCCATCAGATAAGAACAGTCCTCACAGCAAACTACAGGCAGGCAGCCGGACACCAGCTGGCATACTAGAAGCAGTATCTGAGCTCCCTAGCCTCTCCTGCACACATAGGAGCTACTTCTCTGTGCGTATGGCCTCTGTTTCTCTGAGCTCTCTTCTTCTGCTCTGCTGCTCTCTCTCACAGACTTCTCACTCCATCCGACCAGCTGTAACCTACTTTTACACTATTTAGACAAAGAAGGCTTCGTGCCAATAGTTACATCAATCATATTGGCTACAGAAGGGCAGAGTGTACCGTGTGTCCTTGCACCTGCTCATGTATCTTGGCTTGATTAGCATTCCCAGGCTCAGAGTCCTTGACATCTTGATTAGGCTCATGCCAGAGTAGCATTTGGTCATTCTGGTGTATTGATAACAAGGCCTCTCTGCTCCCATTGGCCTTGACTATCCGGGGACCTGGTGTGGTTCCCACAGCCTCATTGTTTTATTTTGCATTTTTTTTCTTGGGCATCTTTTTACATTTTTATTAGCTCTATTGTATTCTTTTTGTGTTAAGTCCATATTCACATATTTTTTCTTTATTTGTGGGGTTTTCATTTTTTATTGTTTTTAAGAGTTCCTCACATATAAAGAATGTTAATTGTCATTTATGTCGCAAATATTTTTTACAGTTTCTCATTTATCCCTGCCATAAAGAAACTTAAAACTATCAGTTTTGTCTTGGTTTTATGTTATGCTTAGAAAAGTCTTTTTGTATCCCAAAATAATATAAATATTCCATTTTCATTTTGTATTTTTATAAATTGGTTGGGCTTTGGCTCTTATTGGCACAGTTGAATTTGTTAATGTTTCATCCTATTTATATGATCTTACTTAATGCTGTGTTAAAAAATATTTCCTACCTTATCTTACTCTCTTCCTGGATTGCAAAAATTGTATGTTTGTGGTGTGTGTGTGTGTGTGTGTGTGTGTGTGTGTGTGTGTATGTGTATAAGTTCAGTGTGACAGTTACTTAGTTACTTATCTTTTTTCCCCTTTAAAGTACTTGTGGCTTTTTTTTATAACAAAAACACACACAACATATTAATATATTTTCCCCACCTACATCAAGAATAAAAATAGTATCTACTGATTTCTCCCAGGTAAGATAGAGCATTGTTGCTTTCAAACCCCTACATGCTTTTTTGTTGTTGTTGTAAAAATATTGATTTAAACTCCAGGTTAGTACTAACATATATAGATATATCATTATTGTCATAATATATTAACAGCATTTATGTACAAGAAGGATAGGAAATGCTTGGTATGTGTACCTATGCTGACACACTGATAGAACCAAGCACCAAACATTGTGTACAGCAGTAAAATAGGATGGGTTGGATCCTATCTGGCCTCTGCTAAAGGCTAGATTCTGGCACTGTGAGCAGGCTTTTAGTTTGGTGTTACTTCAGACATATATATTCTTGATATATTTACTCAATACTTTTATTTAGGAAAGAGGCATAAACATTAAGAGTGAAAAAAAAAGTGGAAGAGGAGAACTATTAAGCTTATTTTTTGTGGTCCCGGGTAGTACATCTTTGGATACAAATTTAATGTCCTGAAATAAAAAAATGAGAAATTCTGTAGTTTTCTTTATCTGAACATTTTACTTAGGATTTTCACATCTATTTTAGTATGAAAGGACATATTATAGTTTTATCATTGTTTTGGCCTTTGTATCGTCTTTCCCCTTTTAGTTCAATTAGTTATATGTCAGTTAATTAATTTTACTCACTTTTCTCCATTTTCAACTACATAATTTAGGAATAACTATTCCTTAAAAGTTTGACAGAGTCCCTAAAAATGAAATTATCTATGCCCAGGTCTTTTTTTTTTTTTTCTGGCTAGTTTTATTAAAGTGTTCAATTTTTCTTTACTTATTACTTCATTTTTTCCTCCTAGATCTGTAGAAATTTCCAATGTGTAAATGCTTCTGTTCTGAATTATGACTGTGACATTCAGAAGAAGTGTCATGGACATGGGGTGAGTCATGTTCTCTTTTGACTTGTTCATGGAAGTAATGCTGTTTAATGAGGAATGCCAGTAAGGGTTATGTGAGACTTCCTAAGATTTTTAAAATTTTTGACTGGGGAATTTATATACCTGATACATTTTTATTTTTAAAGAGTATCTATGAATGTGCATGAATTTAGTTCATTCTCTTGGTTTCCATTCTAGAGTTCATGATTTAGAACAACATTCACAATTAACTAAGTAGTGTTTTGTTTGTTTTGAAGGTGTGTAATAGCAATAAGAATTGTCACTGTGAAAATGGCTGGGCTCCCCCAAATTGTGAGTCTAAAGGATACGGAGGAAGTGTGGACAGTGGACCTACATACAATGGCAAGTAATATAGAAGAAAATTAGTGTGATCTCCCAGTGTTGTATGTCAGATATTGGGAATCCTTATACCTCTCCCACACTTCTCACATCACTTATACATTTGTTGGTTCTGCTTCCTAAATTTTCCACAGATATTCCCATTTCTTTCATCCCTTTAATTAATTACCTTTAATTTCTTGCCTGGTCTTACATAATGGCCTCTTAACTAGGCTCCCTCTTTCCTATCTTGCTTCTAATCCACATTCCACACTATAGATTTCAGTGTTTTCCTTCAAGAATTCAGTTTTGATTATGCTAGTGTCTTGCTTGAAATTCATTGCTTCTGCATTGCTATTAGAATGAAGTACAAAAATCCTTAACATGGCTTAAATGCCCTGCATGATTTTTCCTAGCTTTACTTTTCCAACCTCATTTCACTATGCTTAAGACATTGTAGCTTCTTTTATTTCCTCTAATAAGCTATTACTCTCTTTTACCTCTGGGCTTTCATACCATATATTCACATGAGAGGCCCAGTGCATGAGATTCATGCACTCAGAGTGGGGTTGGAGGAAGAGGGGGGTTCTCTCAGCCTGGCTGGCATCCTCCCACAGACCTTAGGGAGAGGGCCTAAGCTGTCAGTCAGAGACATCCTTAGTGCTGCTGCAGAGGTGGAGAGGCTCCCACCACAGCAGCAGTGCTTGTCAGCTGTGAGCCTGGCTTCTGGCTGAGCAGCACTCCTGCTGTGGGAGTGCACTGACCACCAGGGGGCAGCTTCTGCATTGAGTGTCTGTCTCTGGTGGTCAGTGCACTCCTACAGTGCACTTCATAGTGACTGGTCATTCTGCTGTTCAGTTGATTTGCATATTAGCCTTTTATTTTATGTAGGATTGTTGGAACTTGGCTAATTGCTACTCAGATTTCAGTTTATACCTTATTTCCCCTAGGAAGTTTTCTCTGACTGCCTAAATGTGAATTAACATGTCCTTCCTATTCTCTTGTTACTATAAGCGCTGTCACATACTAATAAGTAATAAGTAATTACTATATATACTACTTATTTTTATTCCCTTATAGACTATGAATGAGCTCTTTGACACCACTATCTTTCTACTGAGAAGATATGCTTTCTTTCTCCTGGGTAAATACTAGGTGGAATGGCTGGCTCATAGAGTAGGTTTATATTTAGCATTTTTAGAAACTGCCAAACTGTTTCCCAAAGTGGCTGTACCAATGTACACTCTCTCCAGTTGTTTGTGAAGGTTCTAATTTCTCCACATCCTCTCCAATACTTGGTATGATCAGTTTTTGTAATTTTAGCAATACTGGTAGGAATGTAGTGGTATTTCACTGTGATTTTAATTTGTATTTCTCTAATTACTAGTGATGTTGATCATCATCTCATGTGCTTATTTGCCATCCACATGTCAGTTTTAGTGACATGTCTATTCAAATTGCCTCATTAGTTAGATTGTTTGTCTTCCTGAGTTTTGAGAGTTCTTTATTCTGCATACAAGTTCTTTGTATGTAGAATTGTATTTTCTTTGCTTTGTAAGTGTTTTCTCCTGTTCTGTTTACTTTGGCTTTCTTTTTTTTCTAGTTTCAGTTTCTTAGATCATTCAGGTAATTGATTTGAGACCCTTTTTTTCTTTTCTTAGTGTATGCATTGTAGTGCTATCAGTTGTCCTTTAAGAACTACTTTTTTGTTCCCCACACATATCAATTCTACATACAAAGGACTTGTATGTGGGATTTTCCAGAAATTTTAGTGTTATTGATCTCTCATTTATTCCACTATCTTCTGAGAGCATACTTTGTTTGATTTGAATTCTTTTATATTTTTTGACACTTGTTTTATAGCCCAGAAGGTGGTTTACCTTAGTAATTAAATTTGTATACACTTGAAAATAATTTGTATTCTGCTATAATTATGTGGAGTGTTTTATAAGTAATTAGTTCCTGTTAACTGGCAGATTTCAGTTTATACCTTATTTCCCCTAGGAAGTTTTCTCTGACTGCCTAAATGTGAATTAACATGCCCTTCCTATTCTCTTGTTACCGTAAGCGCTGACAGATGTTTAAGTCTTTTATATATTTACCGATTTCTGTATACTTGTTCTGTCAATTATTGAGAGAGGAATATTGAAGTTCTTGGCTATAACAGCAAATATATCTATTTTTCCTGGCAGTTCTATTAGTTTTTGCTTTATATGTTGTGTTATTAGGTACATAAACATTTAGGATTATTCTGTTCATTTTATATGTTGGCCCTACATTATTAAAAATAGCTCTCTTTATATCTGGTAATATTCTGTTATGAAATTAAATATTAATATCGTTACTCCAGATTTATTTTTTTAGTCAGCATGGAAAATATATTCTCATCCTTTTGCTTTTAATCTATAGGTGTCCCCCAAAAATGTATACATATCATAACAGTTGATAGCTCAATTTTGAAAATGAAATGTATTTTAATAAACATTGTCTTTATAATTTTATGCAAAGTGTGTGTATGTTTTTTTGGGGACACCCTATATTTGTGTCTTTATATTTAAAGCAGATTTCTTGTAGGCTGCATATGGTTGGGTCTTGCTTTTTTATCTAGTTTGCCAATCTCTGCCTTTTGAGTGAGTTCATCTGAATATATTTAATTAGATTATATCTTTGGGTTTAGAGCTACCATATTGATATTTATCAAAATTTCTTTTCATGTGATATTGTACCACTTTAGTATATTTCCATTTATCTCCCTCTGCCTTTTGTGGTATTGCTGATATACTTCTGTATACACTATGAATCCTACAATACACTGTTACTATTGTGCTTTAAATAGTTGATTATTTTTTGAAGATATTTAATAGAAAAAGTCTTTATATTTTCTCACATAATTACTATTTCTGTACTCGTGTGTGTGTGTGTGTGTGTGTGTGTGTGTGTGTGTGTAAAGTCACATTTCTATCTGCTATCATTTAATTTCTGCTTGTGGTACTTCTTTTCATATTTCTTATAATGCAAGTCTACCTGTGACAAATATTTTAGCTCTTGTATATCTGAAAAAGCATTTTGCCTCAAATAATAACTGGGTAAAATATTCTCGGGTGAAGTTTTATCACCATTTTACTTCTTCAAGGATGTTCCTACATTGTCTTCCAGCTTACATTGTTTTTCCCATCTTTTTTTTTTTTTTTTTTGTATATTCTGTTTGTAATGTGTGTTTTTACCCTCTAAGATTTTCTCTTCATCTCTGATTTTTAGTATTTGATTATAATGTGCCTTGGCATACTTGAAATTTGTTAAACTTGTTTGATTTGTGCCTTCATAGGTTTTTTCAAATTTTGGCAATTTTGTCTTAAAAATTTTTTAAAATAATAACTAGGTGCTTTATTGAATTATATGCACAGATATGTCATATGTAGTACATTTAGACATTAATTGACTTTCAGTAAAGAATTTTTTTTTCTCCTGACTCTTCTAAATCCCAGGATCTTTTTAATACCAATGTTGTATGCTTTAATCAAAATTTTGTCTACTGATTAGTAGGTATGAAATTATATAATCAAGCTTGCTTTACTCTTTCTATATTTTTAATTGGGTTGAATGTTGTTTCATGTAATGTCATACAACTTATAACAGAAATTTCTGGTACTTTTAAAAACTTACAATTGTGAGGAAAAATTTTATAGCATATCATTTCTATTCATATTTACTATAGTCTTTTCCTCAAGACCATGGTACAGATAAAGTTAATGTTAGTGAATTTTTAAAAGTATAGTAAGATAAAATCCAGAAGCCATAAAAGATAAGGTTGATAAATTCAACTACCCAAGAATAATAAACTTAAGCTTGGGGAGAAGCATTGTATCATAAGACTAATGGCAAACTGGGGAGAATGCTCCCAGCTTATACACAGGCAAAACTAATATACCTAATACATAAAGAGCTTTTAGAAATTGAGAAGGAAAAAACCCCTTGTCCAGTAGAATAGTCAAAGGACTGAGCAGAAAAGAAATTACATTTCCTTAAGAATGAAAAGTTACTTAACTCATAGTTTAAAAAAATGCAAATGAAAATGATATAAAGTATAATTTTTCACCTACTAGGTTGGCTAACATGGACAAGTTTGACCCTATAGGTGAGGCTGTGATGAATTCCTATATATTGCTGGCTGGTGTGGTAAATTGTAACCACCATTATGGGGGTCAATTTGACAGTGCCTTAAAAAAAATGAATGCATTTACCCTCTGAGATGTAGTTCTACTTTTGGGAAATTATTCTATAGAGATGTCAGCACCCTATGTTATTACTCATTATAATAATAGCATTATTTTAGGGTTATTCATTATAGCATTTCTAAATAACAAAATATTAGAAAAATGAAAATATCAGTTGGATACTGGCTCATTAAACTATAGGACATCCTTACAATGTAATTTTGTAAATCTATACAGAAGATGAGATGGTCCTCAATGTATGGTTTTGGAAGATATATAGATGAGTGAAAAAAACAATGTGCTAAGTAGTGTTTATGGTATGCTACCTTTTATGTAAGAAAAGGTTGACAACAATAACATACTTTATTCTTGCTTATATTTGCATGAAGAAATAATGTGAGATAACATAAGAAAGTATTATAATAAGCGGTTCTTCTGGGGAAGGCAAAAAAAAGTGGGCAGGGATGAAATATGAGAGTATATAATTTATATCAGTTTAACTTTTGACCAGTCGGAAAATTAATGTAAAACATTTATAATCACCTACTATGTTCTAGTTAATATGAGTTAACTTCTAATTTAATGTCATTAATATAAAATTCTTCTCTCTAGACAAGAATACTGCACTGAGGGATGGACTTCTAGTATTCTTCTTCTTAGTTGTTCCCCTTATTGTGTTGGCTGCTTTTGTCTTCTTCAAGAGAAATCAACTACGACAAAGATGCTTCAGAAAGAAGAGATCACAAACATATGAGTACTTAGAATTTTTTCCTTTTAAATTCATATAATTTATGTAATTATAATGATGATAATCATATCATAGAGGCTGGTTTAAAAATAGTGTTCTAAATTATCTCTCTATTCTTTGGACATGATTAGCAGAGGTAGAAGGATAGTGATAGTTTAGCTACCTCTTAAAATGATGAGGGGAAAGTATTATGGTAACCAGCTTATATAGTTCTGAAAATGGCCCTTTGAATTCATTTTGCTTGAGATTGATGTATGATAGTGGGATAAATAGGATTTGGGGCTACAGTTTCTGATTTGAACTTCTTAATTAGAGATTAAAATATGCAATAAAGATTTAAAAGTGTAAATTAAATGTTGGAATTTTTCTTACGTGTTTACTTTAAGGATCAGTTCTCACAGAGGAAGAGCTTTTCAAATCACAGTTTGGGGAAGAGGATTTGTAAATTATAAACTTTTAAGAAATAAGTTTTGTGGAAGAAAGGGTTGTCATAATTCAGACAACTAATCTATTTAATCTGTGTGTAACACTTGTATTACTATCTCTCACTATCATTTACATGTTGGCAATAGAATGTAGCATAGATAAGAGTGGACCTTGTAATCAGCTCTAAATTTAAGTTCCAGTTTGTCATTTGTTAAACTCATGAACTGAAATAACAAAACTCTTTGAATAGTAAAACTCTATTTTACTTCTTCTAAAATAACAACAATAATACCTATCTCTTAAAGTTGATGTGCAGATTAAATGAGAAAGTATTAACAAGTAAACCCATAGCACATTAACTGGCACTGTGCAATTACTTAGTAATTAAGTTTTATTATGTTAATGATTTCAAAATATACATATTCTCCTTGATTGCTTACCGTTACTTCATTGCTCTATTTTTTCTCACACAGAGTATTTTCTTAGAGTATCCTGATGTGAGCTTTAATTTTTAACATAGTCTACAACAGATTTATCTTTCTATCTGTTCTTTCTCTTTCTTATACACTTGACTGACCAAATCATGTAATTCCCCAATCTGCATCTCCGAAATTTTAGCTATCTCCCATACATTTCTTTCTAATTGACTTGCTTTTGCCTCAGTATGTCTGAAACTCAACTCATATATTTTTTAGCTTATCGTTTGCTCTTCCTGAACTTCCTAGTTCATAGAGTAACTACTTGAAATTTTGTAGCTTAAGAGTATGCTTTTACTCTTCTGATTTTAGGAAGAATTGAGGAGAAAAGTCAAAGTCTAGTCTCATTGACCAAAACTTTATAATTTCTTAGAATTTCATTTCATTTCATTGTGAAACAGGTTAATAAAACTTTCTAGTACTGTAAGGATAAAAAAAATGTGTAAAAGCTGTTAAAAATGGGATAAATTTATCTGTCATCATCATCACCTCTACATCACTATTCTGTTTTGGGGAATATACAAGGTATGCGTAATACGTCATGTAGAAATATTTTAATCTTTGTTTAACTTAAAAGTAATTCTGTCTTTCAGATCAGATGGCAAAAATCAAGGAAAAGTTTCTAGACAACCACCGAGTGTTCCTCGACACGTTTCTCCAGTGACTCCTCCCAGAGGACCTGTAAGTTTAAAATGAAAAGTTGTATTTCTTTACTATTATTATGATTTCACATTTATTTAAAAATATGTTTTTATTGACTTCAGACTGTAGGGGTGTCGAACTCAATCAGAGAAGGGGCCAAAATCTAAAATCCAGCCTAAATCGCGGGCCGAATGGTTTACTGAACAGTCATAAACTGTCATTGTGATGGAACCACAGCGGAGTGCAGTGATGACAGCGCGGTGCGGGCCACATTGCAAGGCCTGGCGGGACGGATTTGGCCCGCGGGCCTTGTGTTTGACACATGTGCTTCAGAGAGAGGAAGGGAGAGGGAGATAGAAACAGAACATCAGTGATGAGAGAGAATCACATTGGCTGCCTCCTCCAACCTCCCCCTCTCTGAGATGGAACCTGCATCCCAGAAATGTGCCCTGTCCTTGTAATCAAACCGTTACTTCTGATTAATGGTGTCAGCCCTTAATTACTAAGCCATACCAGCTGGGCTCATTTTTAAAATTAAAAAAAAAAATGTCACATCGATTTAGAAATAATTCTTAAGAATTTAAGAATGTGATCTATAGGTGGTCTCTGGGTTAGTAAAAGAAATACCAGTGGGATCCCTGGCTCAGAGGAGAGGGAAAGCATCTAGATCATAAGAGTACTTTGTTTTGAAACCAAGACTGGAAAATGATATGGGTCCCATGCTATCCCTATTTATTTCTATGTCTGCTCTCTTTCTGTTTTCATTGCCTGGCTTATGTAGGCATGTTACCAAAGACCTGGTATTGGACTGGAACACACTTAATTGTCTCAGCAATGGGACCAGTAATCACTCCTCCTCTGAATGTATTAGGAAGTATTGGGATAATGACATACTTTTTCTCATTAGCATATAATCCTAAAACATCCAATATAATAAAAGGCTAATATACAAATTGTCCCCTCTACTGAGAGTTTGACCAGGAGTTCAACCAGGGGTGGGGCCAGCTGGTCAACCGCCCTTAGCCCCTCCCCCAGGCTGGCTGGCCTGATCAGCCTCTGATCAGGTGGGCCAGCCACACCCTACCCATGCACGAATTCGTGCACCGGGCCTCTAGTATGTAATATTACTTTGTAATTCTTTTTTCTATTTTAAAATTTATTTTAAAATTGTATTTATTGAGGGGGACATTGGTTAATAAAATTATATAGGTTTCACGTGTACAGTTCTGATACATCATCAGTATATTGGCATTGTATGACCACCATTCAAATCAAATCTTTTTCCATCACCACATATTTAATGCCCTTTACCCTTTTTTACCCTCCTACACCCTTCTGTCTGGTAACCACCATACTGTTGTTTGGTGTCTAAGTTTTTTATTATTTTTTTTTATTTGCTCATTTGTTGCTTTCAGTTTTATATCCCATATAGGAGAATATGATTTTACTTTATATATTTTAAAACTTTGTATAATGTTTTGTTTGATGTTTTACACATTTATCTACAATTTACTTTTCCCTTTAGCATTGCTTTTTTATTTATCCCTATCAATATATGTAGCCCCTGTTCATTCATTTTCAATGTTTATATTACATTATGTAAGTACCACACAATTTAAAAATAAATTTTCCTGTTATCACACAATTTTAAAATCCATTTTCAGATTACCAAATTAGTAGGTAATAATTTACAATTACCAGATTATGGCTGAGATGATCATTTTATATGTCTTCTCATGTATGTTTGTGAGTTCTGAGACTGCACTGTCTAATAGTATTGGCTATTTAAATTTTATTTTAAATGAAATAAAATTAAGAATTTTATTCCTCATTTCACATTTTAAATGCTTGATTGATCACATGTGACCACTGATTACAGTATTGGACAGCACAGAGAGAGCACATTTTCAACATTGCAGAACATTTTTTTAGAGAGCATTGATCTAGGGTCATATAAGAATTAAATTGTTGAGTTGAAAGAAATGTGAATATTTACTGGAAATTGCCAAATTGCTTTCCAAGTAGGTTATACCATGGGATGATTGAATTGTCAGTGGTGTATGAGTATTCCTGCCAACCTACATCTTTGTCAACACCTGGTATTTTCAGACTTTTAAAGTATTTCCAATTTATGTGGAATGAATTGATTAGATATGCTTCCTCATGTTTTATATATATGGAGTCTCTTATACTACTCCTTTTTCTCTAATAAAAAAGAAACAAAAATTATGCCCCTTTCTTCCTTAATTATATATATTCAAGATTTTTTCATATCACTGCAAATACAGCACAGTCCCTACATATACAAGTTAGAAATTACATATATGTTCTTTCTTAACCTTGACATATTTTTATTGTAGTAAAATATATATGCTATAAAATTTGCCATAATCATTTTAAGTGTACAATTTAGTGGCATTTACATTCACAATATTGTGCAGTTATTATTACTGTCTTTTTTGTAAGACTATTTCATTACCCCAAACAGAAATTCTATACGCATGAATCAATAATTTCTATCTCTCCTTCTCTATAAGTTTGAGAATACTTTTTCATTTCTGGAAAAAAGACTATTGGAACTTTGATAGCGATTGCGTTGAATCTGTTGATCACTTTGAGTTGACAGATCTTGACAATACTGTCTTGAAACCATGAATGTTAGTTGTCCATTAATTTAGGTCTTGTTTAATTTTTTCATCAATAGGTTGTAAATTTTCAGTGTACAAGTCTTTGACCTTCTTGGTTAAGTTTATCCCTACGTATTTTATTCTTTGGATGCTATTGTAAATGGAATTGCTTTCTTAATTTTAGTTTTCTTTTCATATTGTTCATTGTTGGTGGATAGAAACAAAATAGATTTTTGCATTTTTATTACATATTTTGCATCACTGCTTAATTATCTCTAGTAGCTTTCTTGTGGTTTCTTTGAAATATTCTACTTATATATCGGATCATATTATGAAGTAGTTGGAAATAGAAGTAGTTGTACTTCTTTTTTCCTATTTGAATACCATTAATTAATTAATTATTTTGTCCAATTGTTTTGGCTAGAACTTCCAGCACTATGTTGCATAGCAGTGGTAAAATCAGCATCCTTATATTATTCCTGAACTTAGTGGAGGAAGCTTTCAGTTTTTCTGGCATATTTAAAAATATCTTCATGTTCTTCCTGTGAAATCTTTCTTGTTGATATTTAGAAATCCTTAAAACAATTCCTAATAGCTATTTTTACATTTCAGCTGTTGGTAGAGACCTTACATAAGAAATTAAGAAAGACAATCATCTCTCACTTATTTTTAAAAATATTAATATTAGCTATTATTTTAATATATTTGCCTTATATCTTTTCATGTCTCAGCTCAAGATTTTTTGTTGTTTTAAGATTTGTATAAAATGTCTCATAGATAATATAGTCCTTTTTTCCGATAGTTTATCCTCATTTGCCTATACAAGTTGGGCCCCTTTTCTCCTCCCCTTTTAGGTTTTTGTGTCGCAGAATATTTTTTTATGACCATGTTTGCCACCAACTTGAATTAGATACATTTATTTTAAGTGCTCCCCCCTTTAATTTTTTTTTAATAATATATTTTATTGATTTTTTAAAGAGAGGAAGGGAGAGAGATAGAGAGCTAGAAACGTCGATGAGAGAGGAACATCAACCAGCTGCCGCTTGCACACCTCCTACCGGGGATGTGCCCGCAACCAACATACATGCCCCTCACCAGAATCGAACCTGGGATCGTTCAGTCCGCAGACCGACGCTCTGCCACTGAGCCAAACCGGTTTCGGCCCCCCTTTAACTTTTATGCTACTATAAATAAAGTTTTAATACCCTACTTAACAAGTAGAGTTGCCATTTTCTGATTCTATTTGTCATTAAGCTTTGTGTGCTTTTATATTTTATTTCAGGTAAAAGAGTTGCTTTCAACATTTCTTGTAATGCAGTTCTTATGGTGGTGAACTCTCTCAACTTTTGTTTGTTGGGGAAAGCCTTTTGATTTTTCTTTATCGCTGATTGTTAACCTGGCTGGATGATAGAGTACTCTTCACTGATATTTTTTGTCTTTCATTATTTTGAATATATTATTTCCTCTCTCCTGGCCTTTTTCTGCTGAGAAATCTGATGATAGCTGACGGGGGTTCCTTTGTAGGTTACTATCTTTTTCCTCCCTCGCTGTCTTTATAATTCTTCCTTTATCATTGGCATTTCATTATTGGAATATAAGGTGTCTTAGAGATGGTGTTTTTTTGTTTGTTTGCATTGAGATAATTAAGTTTTCTGTTAGTTTATTGTACTTTTATGTTCAATTTATTCCCCAACTTTAGGAAGCTCTCATCTGTTATTTAAATAGGCTCTCTCTTCTCCATCTGGGATACCCATTATCTTAGGTTGCCCTTCCTAATAGAGTCCGATAATTCTCACAGAATGTTTTCACTTTAAAAAGATCTTAGTTCTCTCTGCTCTTCCATCTGAATTATTTCCAATGCTTTATAATACATTCCTCATCTCATTAATTGAGTTCTTTAGCTCTGGATTTCTGTTTGGTTCTTTATTTTAGAGTTTAAATCTCTTTGGTAAAACACTTCTTTTGTTTATTAATTTTATTCCTGAGCTCACTGAACTGCCTTTCTGAATTTTTTGCTATTTCATTGAGTTGCTTCATAACAGGTATTGAGAATTCTCTGTCATTTAGATACCAGTCTTTCATCACTTTTGAGTTTGGTTTCTGTAGAATTGTTATTTTATTTTTTGTGATACTATGTTACTGTGATTGTTCATGGTGCTTGATGGGTTGTCCCATTGTGAGTAAGGAGTATGTACCCCATTTTTTTTTTTTAGTGTCATAGCATTCCATCTTATGGATTTACCATACATTTAAAAACAGGTTGTTTCAAATCTTTTTACTATAAAAAAAAGATGTTTTATGTACATTGATTTTTTACATACATATAACAGAATATGTACAATAAATGCCAAGAAGTAGACTTTATCCCTTTAATGCTGTACCTAGGCTTGATGGATGAGGATGGAGATAATTTGTTTTTGCATCTCTTCTCTATTTTCATAGTATAAACAAATCATTCCATGGGCAAAAAAATAGCAGAACAACTGTCCCATAGCAGGAGCCATAGAATGTGTAAGCTCTAGTTCATCACTGTGCATATTCTGCCACTAATAGAGCTTTAGTAGATAATGGAGACCATCTTAATAAAGAACACTTCACAGTGATTTAGCAATTTCATCCGATCTTCCCTGACTTTTTCTAATGTAATGTAATATGTGAAAAATTTTCTTACTTTACTCTCTTATTTAAGGCTGTGTTATAAAGTCTCACTTTGCTGTAAAACTTTCTTTCAACCACCTTGTCAAGGAAGAATATAAGGAATTCCAAAAGCAGATTAGTAGTATTTGTACAATAGTACTATTTAGGTACTGTATAGATTTGGCAATATATTTTTTGGAAGATTTTATTTAAAATATATTGACATAGGAAATGTGTTATGTTTTAAATAATGTAGTTGATTATAATATTTTAGTAATATTGAACTTAAATATATATAGCCTTAAAATAATTAAGTATTCCATATTCATTGGTAAAGATTTTGAATAAGTAAAATATTTTTAAATGTCAACATTATAAGTAAGTTGTCTATTCATTGATTTTATTGGGTCGGCAACTAAGTAATTGCGGATTTTAAAAAAATCAAAGACAATTTTTTTTATGGAACTAAATAACTTTATTCTGTAATGTATTGCCCATTTTGATCAATGACCTTTTGCCATCTTTCAGGCAGCATCATAATCCCACGTTCAAAAAACTTCTGGTTTTTATTAGCAAAAAACTGAATCAGGTACAATTTGACATCATCATCATTATTGAAATTTTTACCATTCAAGGAGTTTTGTAAAGATCGAAACAAAAAGTAATCAGATGGTGCAAGGTCAGGACTATATGGTGGATGTGGCAAAACATCCCAACCAAGCTCCATTAATTTTTGCCGAGTGACCAAAGATGTGTGTGGCCTTGCATTGTCATGATGGAATACAACACCTTTTCGATTTGTCAATTCGGGCCGCTTTTCTTTAACTGCATTGTTTAATTTCGTTAGTTGTTCAATGTAGACATCAGAATTGATCATTTGGTTGGGTGGTAAGAGTTCAAAGTAGACAATTCCTTTGTAATCCCACCAAACTGATAACAAAACCTTCTTTTGATGAATATCAGCTTTTGATGTTGTTTGAGTTGGTTCACCTGGCCTGCTCCATGATCTTTTCCGCTTGATATTGTTGTAAACAACCCATTTTTCATCGCCAGTTATCAGTCGTTTTAAAAATGAATCATTTTCACTATGTTTCTTTAGCAAATCGCAGCTGCTAATGCGTTGCGTTAACTGTGATTCTTTCAGTTCGTGAGGAACCCATGTATCGAGTTTTTGAACATAGCCAAGTTGTTTTAAGTGATTTTCAATGCATGTATGTGATACATGAAGCTTCTCTGCAATCTTACGTGTTGTACTGTGACAGTCCGAATTGATTATTGCTTTGATTAGGGCGTCATCAACTTCAACTGGACGACCAGAGCGTTTTTCATCTTTGAGTGAAAAATCACCAGAACGAAATTTGGCAAACCAATTTTGACACTGCCGTTCTTTTAAGGCTTCGTCATCATAAATAACACATAACTTTTTATGAGCTTGGGATACGTTTTTCCCTTTGTGGAAATAAAAAAGCAAAATATGACAAAAATGTTCCTTTTGATTTTCCATTTTTCAACGAACGCCAAACAAAAACTACAAAACAGATCAAAAAACTTTTTTTACTGATTAACAGCTGAATAGCCAACTATCAAATAACAAAATGTGTTTTACATTTGTACTATGTCTGCAAACCTAAAAATTCAACTGAAGCCATATATGTGTGAAACCCGCAATTACTTAGCTGCCGACCCAATAAATATATTGGTTATTTTTATATGGAAAATAACTGAATAGAAAATATATTTATGAGTGCATTGTGATAATAACTTTTTTCTCTTGTAGAATGTATATGAAAACAGATTTCCTGTACCAACATATGCAGTGAAGCAGCCTCAGCAGTTCCCATCAAGGTTTGAAATGAATTTGTTTAGATTACTTGTCCAGAATGAAATTCAGAAATAATGGCTAATATTTTTCCTTCTATTTTGATTTGATGTAGGACAGGTATTTATTGCTGACAGTATAGATAGTTCATTAATTTAAGAATTGTATGTAAGTGTTGTCATATTAGTGCAGTGTCAAATGAAATTTTTAAGAAGCTTCAGCAAGACAGTAAACCGCTGCTGCAGCCTTTGGTGAATGCACGGTTCAGAAAGAAGGACCTTTGGGAATGGGAAACCAGGTGGGCTGGATTAGACACTAGTGAACTTCCAAAGAAACGAGGAATTGTGAAGCTAAGGCCCAGGAGAGGAACACAGCCTGGTGATGATCCCAGCTTTAGGGACCATTTTTCTGTTGTAGATGTGTGTGTCTATAAAGTGAGAACTAAGAGGTTAGGGAGCTGAGGAAAGCTTTCAACAAACGCAGAGAGTTGAGGGGGACAGAAATTGGAGCCCTGCCAAGGATCAGATACCCTGACAAACATCCCAGGCTTTGCATTGCAACACAGGGGTAATAGTGAACTAGATTCTCAACTTATTCCTACAGGTTTTTTTGTTTTGTTTTGTTTTGTTTTGTTTTTTAATATTTACCTCTCCTTCCTTGAGAAAAAGCCAGACATATAAGAAAAGGAAAATGTGACTAAAACCAAGAAAAGCAATTAACCTTTAGAATAAGATTTGGAGGGTATTCAGTTAATAGTTATCAGACATGGATTTTAAAATAATTGTGATGATTATGTCATGGAATTAATAGTCAAAATTGAGAATTTAAGCACAGAACTAGAAACTTAAAAAAAAATAATCAGATTAAAGACTCAATAGATTGGCTTAAAATCAGCAAAAAGGAGAAAATTTATTAACTACTAGAGGCCTGATGCATGAAAATTCATGCACTGGAGGGAGCATCCCTCAGCCCAGCCTGCCCCCTCTCACAGTCCAGGAGCCCTCAGGGGAGGCAATGCCCCCATCACACCTCTTCTGCTGCCACTACCAGCAGTGCAAGTCTCGGCCAGCCCTGGTTACCTGAACCTCGGGTGGCCCTGGGCTGCTGGGCAGCTGCCATCCGAGGCTTGCCTGTGCCTTGGGCTGGCCCTGGGTGGCTGGGGGGTTTAGGGGAATGAGGGACTCTGGAGGCAGGCCTTGCCGCATGCCTGCCACCCTGGCGGTGCTGAGGGGAATGGACGCTGCCATCTTGTGGCTGTGGTTGCTGCCATCTTTGAGGGCATGGTAGTCAATTAGCATATTCCCTCCTCATAGGCTGTGGGTGCCACCATCTTTGAAATGGTGTGAGGGTCAATTAGCATATTCCCTCTCTATTATATAGGATATTTTGCATTACATAAAATGCACCTCACTTCTCACCCCCTCCCAAAAGTCCTTCAAATTATAGTTGAATTGCAACACTGAGGCAATTCAATACAATACGAGTGTGTTGAAATCCAATTTATCATCAAGGGAAGAATATATAAATCTTGTGAGACATATTCACCAGGTAATGTTGTGTTATTGGATTAATGGTATACTACAATTGATCAAAGTGGTTAAGGAAAAGGTATCCACAGGTTAAAATATGAGGATTGAGAAGGACAGGTATAGAAGTTACAGCCAGTTTAATTCTTAGAGTGGATATTACGTTTGAGAGAGCTGGAATTTCAATGATGTGCATATATGTAAGATTTATATTTATATAATTTCCTGCCCTTAAATACTAACAGCACAAAGGATGTTTCCTCACTTGTTTCCTCACTTGCTTTTTACTATTTGTCTTTGAATTTCATGTGTTTTTCTTTTTATTTATTTTTATTGATTTTTAGAGAGAGAGAAAGAGAGAGAGAGAGACATTGATTTGCTACCTCCTTCTGGTCTCCCACTGGGAATCGAGCCTGCAATCTGGGCATATGCCCTAACTGGGAATCGAACCAGCAACCCTTTGGTGCATGGGATAATGCCCAACCAACTGAGCCCTACGGGCCAGAGATGCACTGTTCTTTTTCAAACATAAGCCAGAACCTCCACACAACATTGTTGATTATAGAATAGCATTAATTTAATGTAAGCATCCATTTTAGACTATGTTTCAAGATCTTTACCCATGGCGTATCAGACTAATAATAGTCTCAGAATAAAATATATTCTTAAGAATGGTTAATAATGTTAAGGATGGTGTTATGTTGGGTTTGAAATGAATTGCCATTTTATTCCATCTAAACAAATGATTAACTGTTTTTTCTTCTCACAGGCCACCTCCACCCCAACCGAAAGTATCATCTCAGGGAAATTTAATTCCTGTTCGTCCTGCTCCTAAACCTCCTTTATATAGCTCCCTCACTTGATTGTTTTACCTTTTCTTTTGTCGATATCTTCAGGGAAGCTAATAGTTTTTTTTCCTGATATTTTCTTGAAAATCCTTTCCTCCTGCTGCAACTATGAATGAAAATAAAACACCGCAAAAACATAGCTAACACAGAAAAACAAAAATTGAATATTGGGAATTGAGAAATATAAGAAGTTTAACAAAGTCAGGGAATTTAAAATAACATTTTCATTTGTTAACACAGAAAAACAAAAATTGAATATTGGGAATTGAGAAATATAAGAAGTTTAACAAAGTCAGGGAATTTAAAATAACATTTTCATTTCTATCACTGAATAAGTTGTATTCAGTCATCTGTGAAGTTAATGTCTCTAACATGGATTGTTATTTTGAACATGTTACTGTAATAATCCTCAAATTAACTGTATTGGTTAAATTTTGTCATTATATGCTTAAATGTAATTATGAATTTTGATCTTAGTTATCATTAATGTAGTTTCAGGTTGAACATGTGATAATCTAATACCTGTGAAAACTGATTAATTTACTACTAATAATATAAATTTTTCATCTTGCACAGATTAATCATCATCATATGCTAGATTCTTGAATAAAAGTTTATTCTGTCTTTGAAAGAATGCACAAATCCCACAATTAAGGTCCATAATATTTTTAAGTACAAAATACAGTAAAGGTCTATATGTGTATATTCACACACAGTCATCTTCCATTTTTACGATCATTCTATAGATAAGGGAATCTATGGATTCTGTAGATAACAGAGTCTATGGCTCTATCTATGGATAATTAATATTAGAAAAATTAATTTAATAGAATTCTATTGTGAATCATGTTAAAACATGACATCCTTTTGCAATAGCATTATTTTAATAAAGTATAAACCTTAAGGTACGAAGTATTTAATAGAACTGATCAGATAAATGCTGTTGATTCATGGCTGTATAAAGCAGGAACAATTATATGTTTAATCAATTGAGCTTATAAAACCAGTTGATAATTTCATAAGCACTTTAAGTGTAAAATCTGAAACTTCAAAGCTTGCTTTTAATATAATTTAGAATGTTTACATTTACTAAAGTGTGCTGGAACATGTCTTTCTTGACACTAATATTTCCAAAGGAATTAGGCTAGAGAAAGGAAGAAAGGTTTTCTTAGATAAGTGCAAAAATGTTACGTGGTGTCTATAAGTTATCATGACTGTTAAAAATGAATTTTTACTATGGAAGAAATGTTATGGATCATAAAATTTTAAGCACTTAAAAATTTTACATAATCTTTCATAATAAAGTTTAATAATAGGTTTATTAACTGAATTTCATTAGTTTTTCAAAGAAAACTTGGTTTGTGTATATATACATATGCAAATATAACATTTACAATAAATTACTTGAAATTCTGTTTGTGTTGCCTAGTAACTCTCTACTCAACTGTTTATAACCTTACTAGAGGACCAGTGCATGAAAATTCATTTACTGGAGGGGGTGTCCCTCATCCCGGCTTGCCCCCTCTCACAGTCCTCGAGCCTTAAGGGGTGGGAGGCGATCATGGGAATGCGATGCCCCCAACACACCTCTGCTGCTTTCACTGCCGGCCCTGGTTACCTGACCCTTGGGCCCATCTGAGGTTTGCTTGTGCCTCAGGCGTTGGCTGGGCAGCTGCCATCTGAGGCTTGCCTGCTCCTCTGGCCGGCCCTGGGGGCTTGGGGGACTGGGGGAACTAGGAGACTCTGGGGGCAGGCATGTGGTGTGGCCGGACCCACCAGGAGGGGGGCCTGGCCATCCCATATGCCTGCTATCCCAGTGGGGCTAAGGGAACTGGGCACCACCAACTTGTGGCTGTGGGTGCTGCTATCTTTGAGGGCATGGCAGGCAATTAGCATATTCCCTCATTGGCTGTGGGCATTGCCATCATTATGAGGGTGTGATGGTCAATTAGCATATTCCCTTTTTATTAGGATTAATTAAAACTTATAATTAATTACCGTATTTTTCGGACCATAAGACGCATTTTTCCCCCCCCCCAGAAGTGGGGGGAAAAAGTCCCTGCGTCTTATGGTCCAAATATAGCCTACACATATACTTTTAAAAAAAAGTTTTTTTACTTGCCCGGCTCTGTGTGGTCTCTGTGTGCTTGCCCGGCTCTAAAATGGTTCTAAATGCTGCTGTTTACTTTACAGGGTTGATTACATGTGTTTATGACTGTGATGTTGGGTTTTAATGCACATAAAATATTTTAGGACACTATTTGTTTCAGAATCTTTTTTTCTTCATTTCCCTTCTCTAAAAACTGGTGCGTCTTATGGTCCGGTGCGTCTTAAGGTCCGAAAAATACGGTATATCATGCTAAACTACTGTACTAGTCAATCTTTTACAGGTATTTCACTAATTTTTTAGACTTCTTTCAAATTATATACAACTAGAAGTCCGGTGCACGAAATTCATGCACTCAGCCCAGCCTGCACCCTCTCACAGTCCAGGACCCCTCGGTGAATATCTCTCTCAGTTCTGGACCCCTTGCTTCTTACTGCTCACCTACTCACTGCTCCTTAGCACTTGGCTCGCTGCTCCTTAATGATGCCTCAGAGGTAGGAGATGCTCCTGCCATCACCATTACGCTCACCAGCTGTAAGCCCAGCTTCTGGCTGAGCAACACTCCCACCGTGGGACACACTGACCACCACGGGGAAGTTCCTGCATTGAGTGTCTGCCCCCTGGTGGTCAGTGTGCACCATAGCAACTGGTCATTCTGGTTATTCTAACTTAACCATCACCTAGGCTTTCATTATAGAGATGTTATTAAAGGAAAAGTTTTGAAGAAGACATATTTCAGTTCTCTGAAAATAGTACATTTATTTTAACAATCAGATATACATTAAAAATTATAAAAAATGTCAATGAAGAATCTTCATTTCAATTTAAATCTCTGAATGAATTCATATAAGACTGAAATATTTGTATTTTTCAATCAATGATTTTATCCCATTGATGTTTCTATATCTATCTCCCTCCCCCTTCCTCTTTGAAATCAATAAAAATATATTAAGAACAAAAACACCGCCTGTGTGACGTGGTGGTTGGGTGTGGACCATAAACCAGGAGGTCCTGTTTCAATTCCCAGTCAGGGTACATAACTGAGTTGCATGCTTGATCCCCCTAGGAGACATTGTAATCCAAGGGAATAAGCCAATGTTCATTCAAGAAAGACCGCAAGTCCTGGTAGTAAAAGCATTGTGGGTAGGAGGAACTAGGTGGCAGCCTGGGTTCTGAAAGCAGAAAATGATGAATACTGTTCTGATGAATTTGGCTAGGATTTTCTACTGGAACATACATACTGTGACTATAGACGAGAATCTTGTCCATTTCATTCCCATCACAGAAGAATTCATAGAACTGAAAAGTCACTAAATAAGAGAATGACATCACATGAATGGGAGCCAAGGCCCTGGGGAGAACCAGACAGACTGGAAGAAAGAGTAGTCTGGTTGCAGAGTGCTTTTGGACAGTAGGTCCAGGAAAACCACACACACACACACAGGCGTGCCCGCACGAAACAAAAACCCTTACTCTTCCCAAAGATATCAAAACCTCACTTTTCCTAATCTTGGAATCTTGTTTTGTTTTAGATACCAATTAGTTTCTTTTGTTTGCTCTTAAAGAAACCCAGCTTTAGTAAATGTGAATATGTATATTTGCGTTATTACAGTTTTGTTAAATTTTCATTTTTTTTTTAACATTAAACTTTTTGGGGTGACCGTGGTTAATTAGATTATGTAGTTTTTAAGTGTACTCCATGGTACATCATCTGTGTGCCCACCACCCAAAGTCAAACCTTCCCTCACCATCTGTTTGACCCCCTTTGTCCTTTACGACTCGCCCCACTCCTTCCCTCTGGTAACCACCGTACTGTTGCCTGTTGTTTATGAGTTTTTGCTTGTTTTACTTGTGTGTTCACTTGTTGCCTTCCATTTTATATGGTATGAGGGAAGTCATAACGATTCTGAACATTTTCTGCCCTTCATTCTGCTGACATTCTCAAAACCCATCCATGCTGTCACACACGGCCTATTTCATCTTTTCTCAGAGCAGAGCAGTATTCCATGGTACACGTGGACCACATCTTTGCCCGGTCACCTGGAGCTACGGTTTGAAATCCAGAAAGTGTGGCCCTTTCCAAGCATCCGGACGTGTCTGATACAGAACAGCACAGAGTCAACGGGTCAGTTCTCTCCGTCCATGGACGGGAAGGGACCGGTGTTTGGGGGTTGACCCCCGGGGAGGAAGCGGCTGGGCTGGAGAACCAGGAGATTGGGCTTAGGGTCCGGCTGGTCTTAACACAGCGGGCACTTCAATGGGCGTGGCGGCCTCGCGAGATGAGAACGCGGCCCCGCCAACGTGCGAGGAGGAAAACGTGCGGGGAGAACGTACTGGGGGAGAACGTGCGGGGAGGGGACGTGCGGGGCGCCAACGGCCGCGTCCTGCGGCCTCAGACCCGGCAGCATGCTCCGCTCGGTGCTGCTGCTGGCGGGCCTCGGCGCTCTGCTCAGGTGCAGCCCGGGTAAGCCAGGGCGCCGGGCCCGTCCCAGCGGAGGAGAGGCTTCCCCTCCTTCTGCCCCCGGGGCCCACCGAGGCCGGGCCCCACGGAAAGCCCGGCCCCGGCCGGCCGCCGGTCTCCTTTGCCCTGCCCCCTGGAAGCTGGGCGCGTCCGGCCTTACAGTGACTCCTGCGAGCGCAGATCATCTCAATGAGCTCAGGACAAACCCCTGACTCTCCGGGTTTGCCTTCCGCCTTTCGTGTAGGTCACACTGCGCCCCCTCCCCTTCCCGACCCTTCCCCCCAAACTCCCCAGAACCCACTTCCCTCGGCTCCCGGAGGCCATCGCAGACCATCTGTTTCCTCGAGTTCCCTCCCCAAACTCTAATGCCTGTTGCACCCCGTGGCCTGTGGCCCCCTTTCCCCGTGTTTAAAGCCAGGAGCGTTGGGTTGGGGTCTCTGGAGTTCTCTCTTCTGCTCCCCCTCTTCCACTGGTCAATTCCTTCTCATTTGAATTCAGGCCCCAGATCATCCAGGATAATCTCCGTATTTAAAGGTCCGCTGACTAGCAAACAATTCTCAATTACAGTTTGCCACGCATTTCTAGATTTACAGGTTCCTGGGATTAAAACAGGGACATTTTGGGGGAGGATAAATTCTATCTCCCACAGAGGGTGGTGGTATGCTTAGGGTCTAGGCTGAAGCAGAACCAGAGATGGTCATTTTTTGTCCTACCCTGTTTCCCCGAAAATAAAAGTGTCTTATATTAACTTTTTCTCTCGAAGTTGCGCTAGGTCTTATTTTCAGGGGATGTCTTATTTTTCCATGCGCTAGGTCCTGTTTTCGGAGGATGTCTTATTTTCGGGGAAACACGGGTAGGAGTGAAGTCATGTGATTCTTAACGTTTCCAGCCTGACACCTTGCTCGCAGGACATTCTCAGAACCCATCCACGCTGTCACAAACTGCAGTATGTCATCCTTTCTCACAGCTGAGTGGTGTTCCATCCTGCATAGGGACCCCATCTTTACCCAGTCATCTGGTGTGCAGTTTGACATTCAGACAGGAAGGGGGTGGTGGTTGGGATGGAGAAGGTACACTGCTATCACTGCCAAGTGAAAATGCGAACTTGCTGTGGTGATTCCCTGCTGACTGGGATGGAGAAAACAGCACCTCTCTGTGTCATTAAACAGCAATACCTGTGTTAATTTGCTTCATTAAAGAGACCTTACTTTGAGCAGTGTTTATTTCAGCCATCAACTGGTTAAACTTACAACAGCTGATTCTCTATTAAATCATTTGCACAGATCAAACAAATAAAATACGCACTACCCTTGTACATTTTAATTCTTTTCATAGTGGGGCTACTTTCTGGATTCAGAAAGACGTTTGGTTTGGTGATGGTGCAAAGATATTTAGAGGTTTTTGTCTGGCCCTTCCTACTCTAATAATCCTCATCCTTATTGGTTAGGTAGGCTAGGTGGGGACTCCACAAGTTATTGATTATGTCGATTTCCACACACTTGCATAATTGAGCAATTTATGATAGGATTGCCTTGTGAACCCATGAGTACAGTCATTGATTTGAACCTAAATTCTGTTAACCACCTGACTGTCTCAGGTAAGCATACATCTTTTGCTGAAGTGAACCACAGTCATATTTTAAGGTCCTCAAAATTTAGGATTAGCTTAGGTCCAGTATTCGTTATTTCACAGGTCTGAATAACTGGGTTTTGTTTTTGTGCATCCAATCTGAGGATTTTTCTTTTAGTTGGTTACTTCATTCTACTTCCATTTATTGATATGACAGATATTTTAATCTGAGTGCTTCTTATTTATGTCATACATTATTGATTTCATACTTTTGCTTTAGTAAAAAGTCCTTTACCATAAAAATCTGTAACTTGCTTTACTTTTTGGGTGCCTGTGTATTCTTCTCCTAATTTGTTATACTTTTAATCTGTGTTATATAATAGATTTACTCCTTCATATAGGTAGTTAACTAGTGATTCCTCATTGTGAGTGCTTAGAGAATTTAGTATCTTGTTACTTCTTCCTACCGCCTGCTCTCCCTTTTATTACATGACTCTGGTTTTAGTTCTTCTATATCTTTATATCATTAAACAATATGTTTTTGATATACCACTTGATTTTCAACTTTAAGTCACACTTTTTGGACCATGATGCAATAAATTTAAGGAAATCAGTATGCACATATGGTGTCCTTGTTTGCTGTACTTCGTGACATTGTATATGTTTTTTATGTCTACATAATCATGGTTTATAACATTTGCATTTTATTAAATAACCACAATTCCCATAAAGAATTATTTTAATCTTTATTCTATATTTAAGTTTATTTAATGCTCTCTACTACTGGACCTCAAATCTGTTGATATCTTTATTGGGAGAAGTTCGTTTGCCTTGGATGACAGGCACATGTGAACTATATTTCTTTGAGATTTTGCTTGTAAATATCTATCTTTCAACTCCATATTTCAATAACAGTTTTGCTGGGTAAAATAATTACTGGTTCGATATTTTTTTCATGAAGATTTTAAAAAGATATTGTTATTCAGTTTTTTAACATTGAAAACTGGTGTAAAATTCACAAGCCAGTCTGCTTTTCTCCCAGTATGCTCAGTATGACTTTTTTTTTCTTTTTGCTCATATGTCCATAGAATTATTTGTCTTAGGCAACCAATAACTTTAGTAGAATAGTTTGAATTTTAATTATTATTGGTTTTTATTATAATACTTTCTACTCTATTGTTTCAAATATTTTAGTTCAGGAAAGTTTTCTTGAAGTTTATCTTTGATTATTTTTGCTCTATTTTCTAGGAACAGCAAGTTTTGTGTAAGTTGATACTTTCCCCTGTGCTTTTTATGTTGTCTTCTAACTATTTTGTCTGTTTTTAAATTGTTTTAAAGATTATTATAGGAATATACAGTAGTAATTCATATTTGCATAAGTGAATCTTACAAAACAACATCAACAAATATTTAGTTAGGTTTAAGACACAGTTACTAATTGTTTTCTTTTATTTCTTAAGATTTTCAAAATTCATCTCTACAGATTGTAGTTCCAGAGAAAATCCAAGCAAATAATACAAGTAATGATTCAGAAGTAGTAAATGTAAGATGCATTTTTCACAATCAATATTATTATATAATTTATTTTATTTTATTATATACAACCTTACAAAGTATGTATATGTGCCTGGTATTACTTCTAATAAGGAATTTAAAGTTTTTATGGTAAAAGCAAATACTTACATTAGGATGTTCTGTTTGTTTAATATTTGTCATTTCCTTATGTCAAACTACTAAAACTTCAAATACAGAAAATAGGAATGGGGCCCTAATCTGATAGCATCTTATCTGACTGATATCTCAATGATTCATATGAAGAGAATACATTTCTCCAAGAAAGTTACAGAGAATCTCTTTTATTGAGCCTCCTGCCTCAATCTGTATCCCAGAATCTACCAGTTCTCAGACAGAATAAGCCTTTTATTCTGTTATTTTTATAAGAAAGGAAGATAATTTGTCTTCTTCATCAATTTATCTAACAAATACTTATCTGGACCTGTGTGTATACCTTTATTCTAAGTATCTTAGAAGAATAAAAAAATAAATACAATGAATCAAGTCTTGCTTATAAATGGTCAATACTTTGATAATACTTTAGTGTTAACACTTTTATTAAGACATAGTTTGCATCCCACAGAATTCACTCTTTGTAAGTGTATACAACTCAGTAGTTATTAGTACATACACAGAATTATGTAAATTTACACTGTCTACTTTTAGAACATTTCAGTTGACATGCTTATTTTTAGTTTTTCCCTGCTTCCATTCTCAGCCCTTGGCAACTGCTGATTTATTTTTGTTTCTATAATTTTGCCTTTTCTGGACATTTCATATACATGAAAATATATGATGTGTATGTTTTTCATTGGGCTTCTTTCACTTAGGTTTGTCCATTTGGTAGCACTGATAAATAGTTTATTAATTATTTATTTTTTATAAAAATTCTCTTTTGAGGATATTTTTCCATTGATTTTTAGAGATAGTGGGAGAGAGAGGGAAAGACATAGAGAAATATGGATGTGAGAAAAGCACATCAATAAGTTTCCTCCTGCACTTGCCCTGGCTAGGTCTCAGGTCGGGGAGGAGCCTGCAACTGAGGTACATGCCCTTGACAGGAATTGAACCCAGGACCCTTTAGTTCACGCAGGCCAATGCTTTATCCACTGAGCCAAATTGGCTAGGGCATTAATGGTTATTTTTAAATAGATGTGGTTAACATTTGTTTATCCATTTAACACTTGATAGACATTGGATAATTCTGTTATGAACATTTATGTATGGACATAATATTTTCCTTTCTCTTGGGTAGATTCTTAGGTGTGAAATTGTTTTGTCATATGGTAAGTTTATGTTTAACATTTAAAGAAACTGCCAAACTGTTTTCCATGGTGGCTATCCAATGTTACTTCTCCCATCAGCTATATTATGAGCATTCTGTGTTTTTTTTTACTTGTCAGCACTGACATTGGTTCTCATTTTTGGTTAAAGTTATTCTAGTAGTTGCGTAGTGTTTTTCATTCTGGCTTCAATATGAATTACCTTAATGTTAAATGAGACTGAGCATCTTACATGAACCCATAAGACATTTATACATCTTCTTTGGTAAAATGTTCATTCAGATTATTTGCCCTTTTAAAATTGGGTTGTTTTCTCTTCTGAATTCTAAGAATTCCTTATATATATTCTAGATACAGATTCATTATCTGATAAATGATTTGCAGTTATTTTCTCCCAGTTTATGTCTTGTCTTATTTTCTCAGTTTTCAAAGCACTGACATTGTCCATTTTAATGATATACCATTATCAAATTTCTTTTTATGCATCTTGTTTTTGCTGATTGCATTTAAGAACTCTGTTATGGTCAAAATTGTGTCCCCTTCCCCACATTCACATGTGGAAGTCCTGATCCTCAGTGTGACTGCGTTTGGAGATCAGGCCTTTAAGGAGACGAGGTTAAATGAGTTCATAGGCATAGGGCCCTAATCTGATAGGACCTGTGCCTTCTCATCCCCTCCACCTGAACAAAGAAGAAAGAGAGGACACAGCAAGAAAGGTGCTACTTGGAAGCCATGTAAAGAGCTTTCACCAGAAACTAGCCCTATCTGGCACCTTAATCTTAGACTTCCAGCTTCTAGATAGTGAGAAAGCAAATTTGTGTTGTTTAAGTCTCTCATACTGTGGTATTTTGTTAACGTACAAGAAATACTAAATAAATTTCTTTATGCTGAAAGGAAATAATAAAAGATGGCAACCCAAAGAACCAGAACTAGTAAAAATATGTTATTACGAAAGATTTTGATTAAATATTTTAAAAATTGTGAATGTTTTTTCTTATTTCTCCTTTTAATTTATTTAAAAGATGCAACAATGGAAAAAGCAATAATTATAATAATTTATAGTTGCATTTATACAAATACAGATGTATTATATGATTATTATATGATAAGAATAGCACAAAGGAAGGTGATAGAGTTCCACTGTATAGAAGCATAGTTTTTATATTTTACTGGAATTTTTCATCCTGTTTAATGAAAGACTAATATGCTAAGTATCTGGTCGGCCAGTTGGCCGTTCAAGCAATCAAAGGGCAATATGCTAATGATATGCTAAGTCCTCTCAACTGCTGGCTCTGATGTGCACTGACCACCAAGGGGCAGTCAGCCAGTTGCTATGGCATGCACTGACCACCAGGGGGCAGACTCTCCAACTGATAGGTTAGCTTGCTGCTGGGGTCTGACGGGGACTGAGCAAGACAGACCAGATACGCCCTGTAGCCCTCCCATGGTCCCTCCTCGTCTGGCCAACCTCCTGCATCCCTCTGTGGCCCCAATTATGCACCAGTGGGGTCCCTTGGCCTGGCCCATGCTCTCTAGCAATCCAGGGCCCCTAGGGGGATGTTGGAGAACTGGTTTCAGTCCAATGACAGAATGACTGGTCACTGTGTTGCCACTGACCACCAGGGGGCAGACCTTCAATGAAGAAGCTGCCCCCTGATGGTCAGTGCACTTCCATAGGGGGAGCACTGCTCAGCCAGAAGCTGGGCTCATGGCTGGCGAGCACAGTGATGGTCGTAGGAGCCTCTCCTGCCACTGCGTGTGCTAAGGATGCCCGACTGATGGGGAGTGGGCCTAAGCCAGTGGTTGGCAAACAGTTTGCAGACCACGGGCCTAAGCCATCAGTTGGGCATCCTGAAAGGGCTCCGGGCCTGAGAGAGGGTACAGGCGGGGCTGAGTGCACCCCTCACCCTCTGAGTACACATATTTCATGCACTGGGCCTCTAGTATTAATACAAATTGTGCTAACTTAAATGCATATTGTGATACCCACAGAAACTACAAAGAAATGTTTTAAAAATAACAAAATGATGAATGTAAATCCAACCATATAAATAATTGATCTTAATGTGAATGATCTTAACACCTCAATAAAAAGACAGAGGTAGATTGGGACATTATATAAAATAATTTCCCACTCTATGCTACCCTGTTTCCCCCAAAATAAGACAGTGTCTTATATTAATTTTTTCTCCCAAAGTTGCGCTAGGTCTTATTTTCAGGGGATGTCTTATCTTTCCATGCGCTAGGTCTTATTTTTGGAGGATGTCTTATTTTCGGGGAAACACGGGATCTATGAGAGACACACCTTAGATTCTAATATACAAATAGGTATAAAGTAAATGAATGGAAAAGATATCTACCATGCCAATAGTAACCATAAAAAGGGGCCATATAAATATTAGGTAATACAAGCTTACAGACAATAAACATTACTAAAAAGAGTGACATTTTATACAGATAAATTTGTCAATATATTCAAAAGATATAAAAATTTAAATGTACATATATCTATTAACAAATCCTCAAAATTCATGAAGGGAAAACTAACAATTGAATATAGACACAGACAATTTAATAACCATATTCAGAAATTTCACTATTTCACTCACAATAATGGATTGACCAACTAGACAAAATCAAGCATAAAAGATATTTGATTAAAACTATTAACTATAAGTTTTCTTTTTTTACTGTGATCAGCACAGCTAGAGAGAGGACGAGTTCCTGAGTAGGGGTGGCTGGGGATTAAGAAAAGGAAAAAAAGGAGACAGAGATAGTAGGGAAAGCTGGGACCAGGTGGGATGCAACCCTCTGATTGAGGGACAGTGACCCAGAGCTGGTGCAGCATGTTTATTATATATAGCCTGATTCCAGGAAGTTTTATTAGAGTTTAAAACAAAGGAAATCATGTGAAATAATGATTAAAGATAAATTGTTCATTCCTGTGGCTTCACTGTAATTGTCACTCCTGGCTGAACCTGGATAATTGTGTCCATTCCTTGTGCTTGGCTGAACTTAGATAATGAAACCCATCCCCTGGCACCTGAGCTAAGGGTCAGGCTGACAACATACATACCTCTGGCATGGTATGTTTCCAGGATGTGGCTCTGCCTGCGCCAGTGGACTCAACTGACAATAATCAGAGAAATGCTCATGTGCCTTTTCAGTCGCTCTCTACAATTAACCAATACAAACTAGCTGACATAGAGAACACTACATCCAACAAATGCAGAATACTTATTCTTTTTAGGTGCATATGAAATATTCTCCATGATAGACAATATTCTAGGTCAAGAAAGTAAAAAAAAAAAAATTGAAGCCATAAAAATATGTTTGCTATTGCAATTGAATTAAATTAGAATCAACAACAGAAAGAAATCTAGGAAATTCTCAAATATATGAAAAGTAAACAACAAACTTCTAAATA